CGGTCCATGCGTATGGTACTAGTAGTACTGCTGCGCCGTGTGGTACTAGTACATATTTTCTGCCCTTAAAAACTCCGATTTTGAACCTATTTCGTTGTTTTTGGAATTCTAAGAATTTGGAACATTTTTTTTCTCAAAAACTGCGAAGAAAAAAATGAATCATGCCAACCCGCAATGCGAACTCCTGAGCGGGCTCGGTTTGATATATAGTTAACCCTGATCGCAACAAGCACAACGGGTTCAGCTCTATTGATTTCATAGAAGGTTTTGGAAGTCCTAATTCCATCACAAGGCCCGCGATTATGCTATGACGAGATGAAAATCCGTTTTTAGGATTTTTTAGGCTTTTGTTATTATCCATTGAAAAACAAGCTTTATATAATACCTTCCCATAGAGAGTATATAACTAATAACGCTCTAAGTGCAGCCGAGGTGATGCCCCTGTAGAAGTACGTATTACGCAAATCAATTTCGCTTTATGCGCTACTTCGCATCTTGAGTCCGGCAGGCGACCAGCAATCAATAAGGAGGCACTTTTTCGCTAGCGAATATCACGCATCTGAGAGAAATTGCTCTCAATCGCCCTCCTTCGCTTTCTAAGGAACAAGTAACCCAAGTCTAAAATAGCCTTAAACATAAGAACTTATTAGGGTTATTCTGGTTTGGCGTGATTACAGAATCTTCAATTGAGTTTTACAAGTACTGTTTGGGCTCAAAAACAACTGGACGATAGCGCTAGCTAACATTGTCGAAATAGAACTAGAACGAGTTTGGCACTTAACCCCTAACAACACCTCAACACTAGAGCAGGTCCCGGAGCCTCTTCTTTTGCGGAACTGGAAGGGGTTGCTTTGCTCGAAGGTCATACCCTTATCCCAAAAACAGTGTTCACCTAGCTGCAGAGGTGCTCTTACAGTACCCTGTTCGCAACTGGCTTTTTACCGTATGCCAACCCTCGGAAAGGGCAACAATGGAGCAGTACAGGCGGTGAGGCGCAGCCCTAGAAATCAAACCCCTGTCAGGCCAAGCAAGAGTTTCATCCTTTGAGGCCAAGTGAGTTGGTACTAGGGTCATTTGGCCCAATAGGATTAGTGATGCACCACGGGTAGCCTCAACCTTTCAATAAATGGCATGCAAACGTCAGTACTTTATAAATAGAAGGAGAGTGCAAGGCTCATCTTCAAATAGTGAATTAAAGCCATTG